CCTCACCTAATCCCTTCGGCTGATTGCTCTTCTCTTTGGCTCCCTGGGTTTTACCCCTTTCTCCTGCTCTTCCGGCCTGCTACTATGTGCTACGCCCGTGCTTACCTTGCTCCTGGATACCTGTTCCCTCTTGGGAGGGTAACAAGGAAAGTGTTCAGTGCAGATCAGTGAGTAAGCACCAGCCTGCCCGTGCTTACCTTGTTCCTGGAGACCAGGTCCCTCTCGGGAGGGTAACAAGGGAGCCGTCTGAGCACTAGTGACTGGGTTTTACCCCTTTCTCCTGCTCTTCCCAATTAGACTTTTACCAATCCCTATTTTACCAATAATTGTCTCTGTGGCCTAGGAGGGTCAGTTCATCATCTGAATCTCAACTGACCTAAAACCTTCTAACTGTGAAATTCAGTTTCCCCCAATTTCACTTCAGTTGACCTTGCCTCTTACTTGGATGAAGAAACCTCAGTTACCATTCTTTAATTGGGTATTATGTATTTCATGTTCTATATGAATAAGAACACCAACTAAAAGGGAACAAATCTAAAATGTATTACATTTTAAATTTACTTTTCTTTTTCTTTTGTAGTGTGCGAAAGAATCCTCAAACCAAGAAAATACAAATTACATCTTCTATCTTTAAAGTTACAGCATATGTAAGTGTTGGAGATATTTGGAACCAGTTTAATTACCTGTTTTCAATAGTGTTTAAGCCAGCAACTCAGAGAATGTTTCGCCTAAGAGAAAAGATGATGACATTCAGTTTTCTTAAAAGTTGATAGGGTATGCTTTTATTTGGGGAACAGTGTGGACTTTTCTCCCCTCACTTCCTTTCTGTATTCTGTATCTATTGCCTACTTATTTTAGAAATAAGTCTGTGACTCAGATGTTGTAGAGCACACTTCTGTAGTCAAACCATAATTTATAGGGCAAATAGAATATTATAAATGTCTTTGTGTCACAGAATCTTGAATTTTAGTATCCTGCTGTGCTAGACACAGTGATAAAAGAGGCATAGTCCCTTCTCTTATGGTGCATAAGGACCATGTTGCAAAAGAAAACAAAGATAGAAAAAAATTGCAAAATAGACATTTTTGCAATAACACTTTAAACATACTTTTTTGAATGATGGAATTTCTCTTTGGACTGTCATTTTCGTGTTGTTGTTGTTATGTGCTGTCAAGTCGGACCTGACTCATAGCAATCCCTCCTTGAGTTTCTGAGGCGGTAGCACTACAGAAGTAGATTTTCCAACCTTCCTTCTGAGGAGTGGCTGGTGGGTTTGAACCACCAGCCTTCTGGTTAGCAGTCACGTAAGTGCCTTAGGCACTACATTACCAGACAAGAATTACGTCATGTATGTATAGTAGACATTTATTGTTAGTATAGTATACTGTGCTCTTAATAAATATTTAATAATATTGGTTAACCACCAATTTATTGTCGAAAGTTTTATGTATGTCTCAAGGTGTTTTAAGAAATAATATACAATAGTGAAATATGTAAATTATTAGTTCAATGTAAATAATTTAGATTTATCTTTTTCAGGATTCTGCCGGTATGTGCTACCCTTCAACAAATAGTCATGAACAGACATTTTCTTACTTTATTGTAGACCCCATCATGCGTCATGTTCATGTTTTATACCACTGTTATGGTATGGGGGAAATGTCTTAACAATGCTGTTTTAGATTATCCGTATCTACTATTTTTTTTCTTTTAATTCATCCATTTTTTTAATTTTAATTCTAATTTATAAACATTTACTTTGTAACTTAACACAAATAAAATATAAAGAGCCTGCTTAGAGCAAAGAAAGCAAACACTAAGATGCCTTTCTTTAAATAATCTATACCAATACTAGTTATAGAGTTTTTAGAATAACAAAGAATTAAAAATCTAGTTTATTTTCACTGTGTGAATACTCATGCAGGTCCTCAGTTTTCTATGTATTTTATTTTAGAAGCCAATTTATTCTGGATTGAAACTGTGGCAGAAAACTAAACATCTCTACCACTGATTATTAATATGCAGTGGCTAACTTTTTACATTTGAGTTTCATTTAATTACGTTTCTTCATTGCATAAAGATATATATCTCTAAAATTGTGAAAAGTGTCATAATCCTTTGGATACATTATACCTCTAAAAAGCTTCAATTAATAAAAAAAATTCTGAAAATAATCATGAACTTTTTTTAATCACATGATAAATTAAAATTAAAATAGAACACAGTGAATACAAGAGCTATGAATAACTGAGTAAACTACCCTGCTGTTATTAACTAAGGTGGCAAAAGAGTAGGGAACAGTGTTTCTTAGTACTGTCCCTTCATTATATTGCTAAAGGTATAACTTAGACTTTTTAGTGGAAAAACTGACATGTATCCCATAGGCAATGGAGAGCCTGCAAGAAATGCCAAGATTAAGAAGGAGCAAGTTTGGAACATGTTTCTGTGTTATAGGAATAAGGATGATAATTTTAGATTTGTACTGGTGGGTCTTTCTGGAAAGCAACTGGCAATCTGGGTATAGAACTCAAGAGAGAATCTCAGTCCATAAACTCAGGTGTTAAGAATATAATCTTCACTATTTTTCTGTAAAAATAAAAAATACCCACTGCCATCAAGTTGATTCCACCTTATGGCAACCTCACATGTTAGAGAATAGACCTGCTCCATAGGGTTTTCTTGGCTATAATCTTTATGGAAGTAGATTGCCAGGTCTTTCTTTTGTGATGCTGTTGAATGGATTAAAACTACCAATCTTTGGGTTAGTAATCAAACACAAACCATTTGTGTCACCAAGAGACTTATAACTCTATTTCCCCAAATTTGTGTGGACTGTGGACTTACATGATGTCAAAATGTTGGAGTAGGTTTCAGATATTTTGATATCTTCCAGCCACACTAACATTTGCTCAGGTATCTCTCTTCCATCCTACCTTTGGTCATCAGACCACACAGACCACTTCACCCCTGACCTTGATATATGAAACATAGCTATTTTCTTCTCTAGTGTTCTACTGCCTTTCTGAGGTCTTACTCAAGAAACATGGCCCAGTCTTTGGAGTAGAGAACAGGGTCCCTCTCTCTGAGTTCCCCTAAAAATATTGATACTGTCATCACGTCCCCTCCCACTCCTAGCCCATGGGGTCTTTTTCTCACCTCATTTGGAATGAGGATGGGATTTGGTCTTGGTCTTTTAGATTTATTCAATGATACTTTCTTCAAAATTCATGAGCTTTTTCTGTACCTCTAAAGGTCTGGGCTTTGAAATATAAAAGCTGAGTATAAATTATCTTTTATTGTTGTTGTTGTTGCCTCCATTACAACCCTTCCCTGAAGCAATTAGTACAGAATGACTTAACCAATTGTTAAGAGAAAAAGGAAAGAAAGTAAAGGAGATATAGGGTAAAAATTAGTTGATGTTAACAAAAATGTTATCTGTCTATAGAGCCATCTGACTCAAGTTATCTTAATAGGTAGCAAAAAAATAAAAAGTTGGAGGTGGGTAGAGAAAAAAGGAAGAAAAACAAAAAGATGAGATAGCACAGTATAATAATGTAAAGGACCAGGGTTGTTTTTGAAGTTAGATAACTCTAGAACCAAATTTTGGATCTGGCATCTGATCTGTGATCCCAAGCAAAATAGTTAACACATCTGGGTTTAATAATATTATCTAGAGATGATAATACCTGCGTCAAAGACTATACAAAAACCCACTGCCATCAAGTTGATTCCAACTCATATTAAAAAAAAAAAAAAAAAAAAAACCACTTCACCCACTTCATCAAGTTGATAGTAACTCATAGTGACCTGATAACTCTTTCCAAGGCTTCAAGTCTTTACTGAGGCAGACTGCTTCATCTTTCTGCCATGGAGCAGCTGGTGGGTTTGAACTACTGACCTTTTGGTTAGCAGCCCAATGCTATAACCACAGTGCCACCAGAGGTCATTGTTCCAACTCATGTTGTTGTGTTGTTGTTATGTACCGTTGAGTCAAACCCAACCCATAGCAACCCCTCCTTGGGTTTCCAAGGCAGTGTCACTACAGAAGTAGATTGCCCAACCTTCTTTCTGAGGAGTGGCTGGTGGGTTTGAACCAACAGCCTTCTGGTTAGCAGTCAAGTGCCTTAGCCACTATGCTACAACTCATAGTGACCCTATAAAGACAGTAGAACTGCTTCATAGGGTATCCAAGGCTATAATCTTAATGTAAGCAGATGACAACATATCTTTCTCCCATGGAGCAGTTAGTGGATTTGAACTGCTGCCTTCAGTTAGCAGCCCAGTGCTTTAAGCACTGCACCACCAGGGCTCCTTTCAAAAAGACTGTTAAATAAATAAATAAAAGCTTGTCATCAAGTTGATTCTGACTCAGTGACCCTATGGTAAGGAATGAATAAGGTTTTTATGTGTGTAAAAATCATCTTCCGTATAATAGTTTAGTAAATGCTCATTAAATATTAGTTCTCTTTCCCTTCACACAATAGAGGCAACAATTCTATATGTCTTTGCCATTTGACTGTTTCTTTCTAGCTTATTGTCTTCTAGCTTACTATCCTATAATATAGTATAATCCTGTACACATCTATTTGTTTAATTAGTCTGTAAGCTCTTTGAGATGGACATATACTATCTTGATAACTTGTATTCCTAGTATCTAGCATAATGCTTTGGCATATTAAATGTTTATTGAATGAATAACTATTTTCCAGATGTATTCATAATACGTTCATTATAAACATATGAGCTGTCGAGTCAGCTCCGACTCATAGTGACCCTGTGCACAACAGAACAAAACACTGCCCAGTCTTGCACCATCCTCACAATCCTTGCTATGCTTGAGCCCATCATTGTAGCCACTGTGTCAGTCTATCTTGTTGAAGGTGTTCCCCTTTTTTGCTGACTCTCTACTTTACCAAGCATGATATCCTTCTCCAGGGACTGATCCCTTCTGACAACATGACTTAAAAAGGGGCAGGGACACTGCATTTTCTGACCTCTCTTTAACACAGAATCACTGTCAGTAGCCCAAGGCCTATGCCTGCGAGGCCGGACATGCCACCTCCCTCCAGTCCTTTCACCAACCCTGACACCAGTTGTTCCTCCAGCAACATCCACTACCTTTCTGTTAGGTTCAATAATTTGCTGCAGTGGCCACACAGAACTCACAAATTATGGGGTTTATTAGGGAAGCACCAGACTACAATTCAAGTTCAGAAAAGCACTCAGTCTCTTGCAGCTGGCCTTGTCACTCAGCAGTCGGCAGTCTCAGTAGCACATCACTCTCTCAGTAGTGCATGTCTCTCATGTCTCTCTCTTAGCAGCGTGTGTCTCTCATGTCTCTTAGGAGCGCATTTCTCTCAGCAGCACATCTTACTTAGCCAGCATCAGACTTCTTCTGCCTCTAGAAGGGCTCCTTTTGAGCCTGGCAGAGTGACCAAACTAACCAATCCCAACATCATAATTCTATACACCTGAGAGAGAGTGAACTTCCCAGAAGATTGCTTCATGCTGGTTCAACAGAAGTACCCCAGGTAGTTAACTTTAGCAATCAGAAGCTACTCAGTTGCTCATGACAAATTCCACCACAGAGTTTACAAAGACTTATGGCTAGAAAAGCCATACCAGGTAATTTACTACACTGCAATGACCAAAGTAGGTGAGATGAAATCTGGCCATTCTTGCTTCTAAGGAGCGTTCGGATAGATTTGTTCAGATTTCATAATATATGTGTTCATAATATACATAATTTTTAAAAAATGTTATAAAAACATCAAATCAAGGACTAAAGTATCCCAATGCTTTCAATCTTTTCTGCCTCCACATAAAGCCATTTGACTTGGGGACTGCCCACTTTATCACTCAGTTGGTCAATCAGCAATTCTTTTTGAATATCACTCCTGTGCAGGACACTGCAGTGTTTAATTTGGGAAAATATGCACTCCATAGATGTGCTTCCATAAACATTAAAGCCTATAAAACCCTATGGGGCAATTCTCTGTCACGTGAGGTCACTATGAGTCATAATCAGTGCAGTTGCACCTAACATTGCAACAACATATAACCTAGTGGGGAAGGTAATCTATAGGTAATGTGGCTGCATACAGTGATTGTTAGATGAATTCAGAAATAGAAGAATCACTGTGAACTAGGCTTAGGAAGGGTTTGGTCTAGCTACTATGCAAGGACTTGTAGAGTTTTAACAGCTGAAGAGAAGAGCATTCCAAGGACATGAAGGAACATGACATGGCAGGGTGCTCGGAGTCTGGCCCTGGGACAGAGTATAGAGATGGGAAAGTGATAAGTGAGTTACTTCCAGTGCTTTCTCTGCTATTGAGGTAAAGACAGAATACACCTTGAAGGAAAGGTTATTATTTTGGAAAAAACTTTTTAATGATTATGCAAATTCTGTGTATGCGGAGGCATAATATAGTGATAAAAGAGTTTGGGGAATCAGGTTTCCTGGATTCTTGGTTCTGCCATTACTTGCTGTGTGACTTCAAGCAAGTTACTAAGCCTTTCTGTGCTTTAGTTGCCTCATCTTTGCAATGGAAAAAATAATAGGGTTCCCTCTTAGATTATTGTGAAGATTATACCAAACCAAACCCACTGCCATCAAGTCAATTCTGACTCATAGTGATCCTGTATGATGGAGTAGAACTGCCCCATCA